CCTACTCCTACTCCTACTCCTACTCCTACTCCTACTCCTACTCCTACTACTACTACCACTACCACCACCACTACTACTACTACTACTACTACTACTACTACTACTACTACTACTACTAGTACCGCCACTGCTTCTGCTACACTGCTACTGCTACCGCTACTACTGCTCGAAGAATGGCAACAGAAATCTCAAAGCATGTCATTCTTTCAACACGATGAGATTTTAGGTTTTGTGACGTGTTTTATTACGACAAGCCTCTTAGACATCCGAAATGCCAGAGAGGCAGCAACGTCCACAAGCTTTGGGATGTTGTTGTTTTTTTTGGCTCAGGGCTTTGGTTTTGGGGTTGAGAGCGCATGTTTGAGGTCTAGATCATGATGCAGACTTCTGAATTTGTCCCGGATGCGCTGATGCCAGATTCGCCGTCTTCACTTCCTTGTCTTCGGCATTCTTCACGACGTATGCGTCCCCTCGCGGTTTCGAGCTTAGGACTTAGAACTGCCACTTTGCGAATAAAACCTGTGGAGCGTTGGAGAATGAGGTTCATCGGCCCCTTCCGGTGATTCAATCGGCATGCTGTACCAACGATTAGCCAGGCAAGTGTCTAGAGTGTATATGTCTGTTTTAAAGATGTCCTTGCGGACCACAAGCTGCAACCTCCAGTAAGGTCCGCATACTAAGGGAACCTTGCGCCCGTTAAGCCAGCTTTGCTGTCTATGAAATGCACCCTAGCCAATGACCATGCTTACACGATCCATTGACTTAGCAAGGAGGGTTTGTAAGGTGCAGTAATTAGCGTATTTGCATCTGCCGTTTGATTATCAAAGACCTACAGGGGATACTATATATAGGTTTACTACATGAATTTGGGCTCAAAGTAGCAGCCATGGATGGTAGCAGGGCGAGGCAGGGCTGGGTCAGCTGCCATTTACGCACGCCTGAAGCAAACAACCTGGCAAGCCTACTACTTATTGATCCGAAAATCTGGCACAAATACTGATGTGTGTACTGGCAATAAATTTGAAGCAGAAGCAGAAGCACCAGGAGCTGCAGTAGCTGCCACAATTAAAGACGTAGAGGCAGCCACATTTAACAAGACTGCCAACGAAGCGATAAGATCCTCAGACATGACCCCCGCAGAAAGCCAGCATCCTCAACCCTAAACCCGAACCCCAGGTGGGCAGCCTTCTGCAGACTCGCTTATGTTTCGATCTTTGAGGAGCTGCTTAAGCTTCGTCTGCCAGTCGGGGGTATACTCGAGATGCGCCTGTCATGAGGACTGGTTTGAGGCATTTCGGGGTTAAGGGCTTCAGGGTCTAGGGCTTGCATGAAAGGGTTCATCAAGTTCTAAAGCCCTAAACCCTCAGCTCCTGAAAACTAAGCCCATGAGCCCCAAGACCCTGCAACTCCACGACTTTAGGAAAGTTTAGGGTTTAGGCTTTAAGATTACGGGGATGTTTGGAATGGGACCGGTCAAGGGTCCTGATCCTATAAGGGTGGGGTTGGCAGTAGAGGCACCAGCGATTTTGGATGGTGTAAATGGTCCGACCATTCTGACAAGCGAGCACAAATGCAGGTCACAACGAACATGCTGCCAACGATGGTGGTGATGCTGGTGTTGATCACTTCTGACGACGGCTACCCTGAAAGACAAACCACCAGCAATGGGAACAAGCGGCCACTCACTGCCGGAAACTTAACACACAGGTAGCTAAAGCTGAACAACAGGCATTACCAACAAAAAAACCGAGCAGCAACTAGAAGCAAAAGACGCGGGATACTACTTAAACTGGCTCACTTTGCAATGAGTTGAGTAGCAATCACGGAGCACACCTCGGTGTTGACAACATGCTTTGGAATTACTTCTGCTTTGGGGCGTCAGGCTCAAGGCTTCAGACTGACAGTTGAAGACTCATGGCTAGCGGCTTGGGGTTCGTTCCGCTGTGGAGCTGCAGCATAAGACCGAACAACCTCTGATAACTGCAAGCTGCACATGCTTAATCGTCATATGGGTAGTTGTCAAAATTATGGTCCCTTTTGGGGTACCCTAAATAGGTGCCGTATTAAAATAAGGACCCAAAAAGGGACCATAATTTTGACAACCACCCATATGCTTCCCAATGGTGTTCGCGGATGGTCAGGAGCAATACTCTAAACTTTTCTGGGCTTAATGCGTGCGGCTTAGGTTGCAGCGAGCTGGTTCACCGATTCACGGTCACAAGGACACGGATTGGGACAAAGTAGCTTCCATACTCCATGTTCACTGCAACTCGGAATGACCGAAGTTATCAGAGTTTCAGATACTCAGCATGCCTGGAGGCCACCCCAACTCGGAATACTGCTCCATATTCTGCCCTGAGACGCCGTGCAATTTCTGCAAAATCCTGGTTGCACCACCCTATTTAACCCCAAATCGACCTAGAACTTGGGGGTGAACGAAGTTTTTTCTTTCTGGTCCTTTGCTGTTTAGGATTGCCCTTTCAGGGCCTTGGAATAGCGCGAGTCAGACAGAACAGGGGTCGCCAGGCGTGGCAAAAAGCACATCAGACTCCAGAAGCACCGATTCATCACTTACTATTGGGGCTTTAAGACCCTAAACCCTAAACCCTAGGACTTCATTATTGGGTTTTCAAGGCTCAGGTAAACACCTAAATCCTCAACTAGGGTTTAGGTTTACAGAGCTGTGAGGGCTTACGATTCAGACCAAGGGCAACCCACATCGGAGGTGCCTTACTCCTTGATCACCCAGCCACACCCGAGAACCTTAAAGACCATAGAAACCCTGAAAGCGGTGTCAATTCCAACTGAACTTAGCATGTCCTGCTTGGTTAGCAAGACACTTTAAAGTCCTGGCAAATCCTACACTTTAGCCCCACACCCAAGAAAATCCAAAACCTACAGGTGCCAAATTTTGCCCTGCGAACTCTACAGTCTACTGCCTCAGAAGCCACAGAAAACCTATAACTTAAAAGCCTAAAGTCGCAAACAAGAAGTACCTTGGAAATCAACACTAGAACAAACCCTAAACCCTAAACTCTTACTCCTTGTATACCACCGTCCCTTGCTCAAAAGTCGGAATGTTGACAAAGAGCAAAGCCAACCCTGAACCCTCAACCTTAAACCCTAAACCCTCAACCCTAAACCCTCAACCCTAAACCCTCAACCCTAAACCCTAAACCCTAAACCCTCAACCCTAAACCCGGAACCCTGAACCCCGAACTTTAAAGCTCCCGGCCTTCCTCCCGATCTCGGTCTCCCAGGCTTCCTGCGACATCTCCCGGAATAGGAAAAGGCTTTAATGGGTCCCTAAACCCTACATTTAATGGGTCCCTAAACTCTAAATTTAATGGGTCCCTAAACCCTAAACCCTAAGGCCCCAGGAAGGAGTTCAGCTCTTTAATGGGTCCCTAAACTCTATAAACCCTAAGGCCCCAGGAAAGAATTCAGCGCTTTAATGGGTTGCAGGGCTTTGGGCTTGGGGAGATGTGCAAGGATCCTTTGCTGGTTCGTCCAAGATGTAACACAAAACATCCGGGTAATCGAGGGAGATGTCGTAAGTTGTCTTTATGAGATTGGTGCTTTGTTGTTCCTCTTGCGCTCTGCGTTGCTAACTTAAATGCAAGGAACGTGCGATTTAATTATACAGAACATGAGCGCAAGAAAGAGAAACGGGTGGGGAGTCTATCCATCACAAATATATTTCAATCGTTCAGGACTTACCATACTTTGGAATTGGGATTCTAGGGTCTGTGGTTTTCTTCCCTGGATTCTAGGGTCTGCGGTTTTCTTCCTTGGGTTCTTTGACTGCTGATGAAAGGTGTGGCTGATTCCCTTCCCTTATCTTCCTTGGCTTACTTTCCTTGATACTTTGGTTTATTGGTTTCGTGTTTCTTTTCTTATCTTCTGTTCTAGTTATCTTTCGTATCTTATTTTCTGCTTCTTTGGTTCGTTATTCTTCGTACGAGTTGTTTCGCTTCTCTAGTCTATTTCATGCTGTCATTCCATTATTATGTTGATTATAATTACAACTAGAGAAACAAACACACGTACCANNCTCTCACTCTTGTTCCACAGCCTATGGTTGACTCCTAAAATACCCACAATAGAACGCACGCCAAAGGTGGAACAACAAAGGGAACAAGACACCAGCTACCCAGACACCTAACTTTAGACTAGAATCATCAGCACATTCCTGATCACAAAGATTTCTTAAGCTTCTAGACTACACCTAATTTCTACTGGTATACCTTTTTAGGTGATTTGGTTGCTTAGATCCTTACCAATATTGGGTGATAGATCTTGGTGACGGAGAGGTTAGGTTGCTTCCATTAATAATTAGTCGTATCCGTTCCCACTTCGTTCATTCATTCATTTCATAAGTGGTCTGGTGTGGTTCGTTCCTCTTGCTCCACAGCCTATGATTGATCCTTATACCCTTTATTCATGTTGGCGTCATTGTGATTGTTACTGGTCGTGCTCATTCTGTTTGCTATTGGGTCTGCGCTTAGACCTGAACCTCCTCTTCACAGCTGTGCGGAGCGCCTCCTCTTCACTGTCGAACCACCATTCTGGGCTGGAGATCGGGGGCGGAGGCGCACAAGAAGGGCCAAGATACGTAGTGCAAGAACATGCTCTGTCCTGGGTCAGCGCCTTGTTACTTGTAGCACGGCTACAAAGGGATTCTGAGGTCTCCACTGCATACGTACATGTTGTACATATACATATATATATATA